GAAAGGAAGAGATTTTTTTTTTTAAGTTAAGCCACTTTCAACTAGTGAATCAATATATCTGGAGTCTAAAAAATATCTTCTGTAAGTCCTTACAAATCACTATTTTCCTAGAGCCTGTGATGGTTTTATCGTGATGATCTGGAAAGCAAGCTTATTTCACTTATTTTTCCCAACCCATACTATTGCTTGAGTAGCACCATCCAGTTGGTAAATAAGGGTTTCAGGGCTGGTTTCGGGTTTCTTTATCTGCAAGTTTAACATTGTTGATGGGGGCGCTTTTTCTAAACGGCACTGAGCTCGGCGTTGGCAGCCAGCCTTGACTGAAACCATGGGAACTGGAGAATGGCCATTGCCAGGCGCCCCCCCGCGGACAGCTGTAGCACTTCTCTCAAAGGGCACAGTGAGCAGAAGGCAACACTCAGCACAAATATTAGCAGAGGGAGTTGGAAGGTCTGGCAAGTCCCAGTCCTGCTGAGCAGAGCGTGGACTTAGTTGCGGCCTCCACTCACCCCATCATGTGACTCTGTGTGGTCCATCAAACGCCCAGCTGTAGGCAGCAGCCCTGACTTTGCTCTGTGAATGGAAACTGATCCTCCTGATGAAAGGGGTATCAGAACTGGGGAGACAAGATACTCGATTAGATCTTATATTAGTCATTTTAAAATTCAGATGGAAAGAGCTCGAGTCTCTATTTGGCGGAGTTATTTGGCAGTTGAGGAACTAAACAAGACCTCTACACCAAATCCTGGGCACCAGATCACTGTAGAATGCAGCCCTCTCTAAGAATGGAGAAGCAGGCCTGTTACTCAGCTCTTTTGTATTTGTGTGTGTGTGTGTTTGTTTATTTTTGAGAGAGAGACAGACGGACAGATTGTGAGTGGGAGAGGGGTAGAGAGAGAGGGAGCTGTCAGCACAGAGCCCGATGCGGGGCTCGAACCCACGAACTGTGAGATGATTACCTGAGCTGAAGTTTGGTGCTTAACTGACTGAGCTACCCAGGCACTCCTCACTTAGCGGTTTTTGTATCAATGCAGACATTTCTGCTCTCTGATGGAAAAGAGGTGTGTGAAAGCTTGAACGTGGCCAAGAGAAAAATAATATTTTTAACATTTATAAAAATCAACATAGAGAAAAACGAATAAAAAGAGCGTCTACTCCAGCTTGGGAAATGTATGCAGCCACACATTATGAAGACTATACTTTACTGTGCCTTTATAAGGTTTTTGACAATGTTGAAAAATGAACTCACTACCTCTTCCCCCACCTTCTAATTCTCGCATAGTTCAGCTCTGAGTCCCAGCCCCACATAGCAGAACCCAGAGTTGCCTCCATAATTCATTCTTTGCCCTCACCATCTGCACAGACGTCTCACACTTAAATTATACAGATGGTTGGTAACCTGATAGACAGAGAAGCTTTGGCTGGGAGGACAGTGTTCTTACATTAAATGCACTGAGAGATTCATGAACCAGTTCTTAATAATTTCATCGAGACATCAAGCCCTTGTACACATAGCCAAAGCCAAGAGCAGGCTCACAAACAAGAATTAACCTTCCTTGTGCCAGAATATTGGCACCGAGAGCATCTGTAGCTGCCAAATTCCTGGAGCCTAAACTTGTTTGCTGTTGTGAATCACAGAATGATAAAAGAGAGATGTGATAGATCTTGGTGGGCATGCTTCCATACTTTTCCTGGGGCATGACATTATAGGACGCATCCTGGGCTCTGTTCAGTTCAAAGCTGTTGGTTCAGTTGGTCGTCTTTCTTTCAATACAGATGTTGTGCAGCGTTCATGCAGTACTGCATCTCTGGTCTGTTTCTGCCGACCCTTACCCCTCATCTCTGGTAGCTGATGTCATATTGATTGCCATATCTTTAACAAACTTGAGGGTGGCCCAGGTTAGGGACAGAGCAGTGGGAGGAGATTGATACACAGGGGAAGTCATGATAACTAGTTAGATAAGGACCTGAAGATTGTGGGCAGAAATGTGAAGGTCATTGGCTGCCTTGCTTATCACAGTCCCTTTCTTTCTGTTTTAGGCAGCAAACGTATCCGAAGAACTGAAGAAAGAGCAAGATACAAATGCCCACTTGGAGAAGATGAGGAAGAATATGGAGCAGACAATTAAAGACTTACAAAAAAGACTGAATGAGGCTGACCAGACTGCCCTGATGGGGCATAGAAAGCAAATCCAGAAACTAGAATCTAGGGTAGGTGTTTGTCTGGGTAATCCTGGGGTCATGACAACTCCCAGTTCAAGGCCTTATTGTCCTGGGATATCATTCCAAATGTTCCCTAGCTCTCTCATCACTTCTGCTGTTAGTACTTCTAGATCGTTAATAGTGTCAGATCTCAATATATTCATTCGTTCTTGCTTGACCTTGGGCCATCAACTAAGAGCGTCCTTGGGCTGGACAAACTCTGCCTTCCTTCTTCCTGTTAAGTGAGGCATCCCTTCCCTTTCAGCCACACCAACTCTAGGCTCCCCACAGCCAGGGCTACTCACTATTTCCAGATATACTCTCGCAGCCTTGCTTCTAGGCTTCTGTTCTGTTATTTCCTCTGCAGAGAAAGCCCATTTTTTAACAGCCAGAGAAAGGGAGAAGGGGGAAAACTAAATCAAGGATCAAGAAATGCTGAGTGAAGATGTAGGAGGGGCTGACAGAAATGATGTAGCACCTGCCTTCAGGGAGCTTAACAAGAAATAGGAAGATATATCTTGAAAATAGGGTTTTTAAAAATATTGGATCAATTTCGATGACTATGTACAAGTTGGATGACAAATGCTAGAAGGATAGGAAGAATATTTGACTGGGACTTGATGGTTCAGAAGGGCCTCTGAAAATTGCTTTTGTACATTAATGGTATACGCGTACAGTAGAATTCTAATGCACATCTAAGGTACATCCATATAATCATGCTAATTAAAAAGGACTGAGAAGGGCTCTGTAATACATTCTGGAGAGCGCATCTAGCAGTATGATCATGATAAAAGGCACAGGCAATAGACAGAGTCTACAGCCTTTTGTGCAAGAGGGGAGTAATATAGAAGACAGGTGTACATACAAATTTTTTTTGTATTTTCATAAAGAAGTGGTGACAGAATAAAACAAAAACTAATGAAAATAGCCGCCGTAGGAGGAGAACACAGAAATGAAACATAGACCTTCTGAATGAAACTTGTTTCATTGCTTTGATGGCAAAATCATATAAAACATTTACATGATTCATAATTATTTTTAAAAACCACGTTTAAACCAAAGAGCAGAATAAAGCAAATCAATCTGTAAAATGTTAAGACAAATGGAAACAACCGAAGCTAACTGTATATCAAGTTGAGGGGCATAAAACAGACACAAAAGAATTATTCCTAGTGTCTTTTAAACATAGTGCTTTGTGGGGCGCCTGGGTGGCTTAGTCGGTTAAGCGAACGACTTTCGCCTAGGTCACGATCTCGCGGTTCGTGGGCTCGAGCCCTGCGTCGGGCTCTGGGCTGACTGCCAGCTCAGAGCCTGGAGCCTGTTTCAGTCTGTGACTCCCTCTCTCTCTGACCCTCCGCTGCTCACGCTGTCTCTCTCTCTCCTAGAAATAAATAAAACATTTAAAAAACAAAAAACAAAAAAAAACATAGTGCTTTGTACATCCCTCATGGAATATATCTAAGGACAAAAGAAAAAAATCAAAGCAAACTGCACATCTAGTTTCAAATTATAGCATCTTTTTAAAAATTTTCTTAAGTGTTTATTTATTTTTGAGAAAGAGGGAAGAGCAGAAGAGGGGGAGACAGAGAATCCAAAGCAAGTTATGCACAATCAGCACAAAGCCCAACGTGGGGCTCGAACCCACGAACTGTGTGATTGTCACCTGAGCCGAAGTTGGATGCTCAACTTACTGAGCCATTCAGGTGCCCTCAAATGACAGTATCTTATCATTAACACTATCTAAGGTTAATATAATTCTTTAACCAATAATTATTTAATCTTGATTGTATAAGAACTAAGATTTTTAGTAGAAGAAAAAAAACCATATAGGTATAACATTAAAGAACTTAGAATATGTGTCTTTTCCCTAATTAAAAAAATACATGAATGATACTGGTATTTCCCATCCAAATTTAAGATTGTAGGATTTAATTCTGTTTCCGATTATTGTTTGTCCACCGTTAAGCCTTGAATCCGTGCTAACTCAGTGGCAGTGAGCTTCTGAACATCAGCTGATACTAAGGAATTATGATTACTTTTTGTAAACCATTATCATAATATTACTATTTGTTAGGATTACATAACAAAATATTTACAGGTGAAATTATATGATGTCTAGGATTTGATACAATAAAGTGATTTTCCCTGAGGTTTTTTAATCAGTTTAAACACACACACACATCCACACATGAGAAAACGTTAAAGGGGGGCCTCGTAGTCTCCTATCCCAACTGATAGAACTATGTTAAGTTCCTATACAATCGGGGTTTAGATTTTTTTAATGGGCTTTGTCCACAAGGAACTTGCATACCTGCTGACTTGCCCTCTCTGAGGAAGAACAAGGACAGTATGTCTGAATAAGAGATGAGGTCAGACATTCTAAGCACACTCATGCCCTGGGGCATTGGACTTTGCAATTTTGAAAGGGGAGTCAAAAAGGTCACATTGAGAAGGTGGCATTTGTGTCAAGAAGAAGGCAGGGGTGCCTGGGTGGCTCAGTGGGTTAAGTGTCCAACTTCAGCTCAGGTCATGATCGCACGGATCGTGAGTTTGAGCCCTGTGTCAGGCTCTGTGCTGACAGCTCAGAACCTGGAGCCTGCTTTGATTCTGTGTCTCCCTCTCTCTCTGCCCCTCCCCTGCTCCTGCTCTGTCTCTCTTTCTCTTAAAAATAGTAACAAAAAACCTTTAAAAATGTTAAAAGAAAAGGCAGCCACAGAGCATTAGGCATCTAGAGGAAGAGAAGGAGAGGCAACACCCTTCCTCCATCAACTCTCTCCATCCCTTTGTTATATTTCTCCAGCTTTGCACAGTGGAAGTATCATCGCCGATGAGGTTTATCTGAGGCACGATTATTGCTAATCGTTTTATTTCTCCAAATCGCATCTCACCATCAAACGTATTCTCTATCTTAGTTTGTGTGTTTCTTCTTGTTAAAACATATGCTTACACAGCGGAGAAACTTCTGTTTATTCTTTTTCACTGCTGCCTCCCTGGCCTTGGGGTCCCGTGTGCGGTAGGCATAAAATATTTGTCGAATAACGTTATGCTGACCTTGCCTGTATGACTGTGAGGCTTCAGGCAGATTGTCTGTGCTATTGCCCTCCCGCAAAACGGGGCTGTCCGGCAGGGTGGGTCGTATCTGCCACATAGACTCAAGGTCAGATTTCAGGGAGTCATGGCTGAATATGGAGGAAGAAACTTAAGATCGGGTAGTACATTGTCCTAATCCCTGAAGTGTGTGCTGTATAGCTTATTCTCTGCATACCTACCGTTCATACACAGGGGTGTGTGTAACGTTGTAATCTCACAGGAAAAATACCACGTCCGCATGGATGAGCGTTTAAATGGTCCTTTTTTATTAATTTTTTTTAATGTTTTTATTTATTTCTAGGAGAGAGAGAGAGAGACAGCGTGAGCAGGGGAGGGTCAGAGAGAGAGGGAGTCACAGACTGAAACAGGCTCCAGGCTCTGAGCTGGCGGTCAGCACAGAGCCCGACGCGGGGCTCGAACCCACGAACTGCGAGATCATGACCTAGGCGAAAGTCGGACGCTTAACCGACTAAGCCACCCAGGCGCCCCTCAATGGTCCTTTTACAAACTCACATAACTCAACCACCTCCCTTTTGGCGAGGCAGTGTCCCCCCGACAGGCTGCGCTGCTTAGCCACTGCCAGAAAGAGAGCGGACCCATCTCTCTTGACGACTTTGCTCTATTTCAAACGATGGAGCCGACTGGCAGATTCGCTGCCACCCCGGCTTGCTGGCTGCCGGCCTGCGGTCTGAGGTCAGGGTTTCGTTGCAGGTTCGAGCCCTGGAAGGTGAAGTGGAGGACGAAATCCGCCGCAGGGCGGAGGCCCAGAGGGGAGCCCGCAGGCTGCAGCGCTGCCTCAAGGAGCTGACCTATCAGGTACTCGGGGAAACTGCCCCCTGCTGGTGCGCTGGCGCAGGTGCTGCTTCAAGCCTGAAAGGGCCTCCGAGGCGGGCTGTTCTTTCCCTTGTTTGTGCTGCTCGTTCAGCTGTAGACGCTGACTGGCAGGCGCGGCGCTCCTGTGCCGTGAGGGCTTTGGGTCGGTCCCTTTTCAGAGCTCTCAGGAAGCAAAATGTGAGCGCCAGTTGCAATTAGAAGGGAAAAGCTATTTATACCAGGCTTATTTTTGCACACATAACGTCTGGGGCGCTCGCAGAAAGATGCCTTCCTGTGAGAGGCTGAGTGAGAACAATGTGTAAATGAAGTGGCTGACGGAGGGAGAGCTGGGGTGGCTCCCAGGCCAGCACGCTCCATGGGACACCGGCGACATCGGAGCCGGAGACACGCTCCCTCCCATATTCTGGTTGCACAGACACTCCAGGCCCCTGAGGACTCCGCTCGGTACCTGGGCCAGGTGCTGACTGCTAAATACGGCCCTGCGGAGCTTGCAGGTTCTTTTCCTGGGAGCTAACGCGGGTCTCAAGCAAATAAGGGAAAAGAGATGGGAAGACTTCTTACCAGCAGTTAATGCATTTCCAAAGCAACCGTATAATCCTTCACCTTCATTTTCATTTTCTAACCTTTCTTCCCTTTTCTTCAAATGGAGGGGACCACAGAGTCTATGAGCGCAGAGGCGCTGTGCTGTGTGCCCTTCTGCGGCCCGGCGTCTTCCTGGCACAGACTAGGCGTCCATGTTGCGGTTGTTGAGCACAGATGCCAGAGGTCACTCCCTAGCCCTCTCCTGCTGCACCGTACAGCTTATGTCAGTGAGAGGACAAATTCCTTCCCGCCACCCGCTTTCACAGCAATGTTGGCAGTATGAACGCCAGATCTGCCAGTCCCGGTTCTGTTCCTGAGGCTAAGCTGTTGTTAGAGACGCCAGTGTCTTCCTTCCTTGCAGCGGGAAGGACAGCGTCGATAAGAAAGCAGTACATTTCAGAAGCGGCATCTTGGGCTAATTAAGATGAAATGAGCTCCTTGCACAGCTCTTCTTTACCGAAGCAGTGGTTCTCTTCTAAGACGAGTTAGTCTGACACTCCTTTAGACAATGCTAGTTCTTTCAAAACCACTCCTGGGGTGTGTGGCTCAGGAAGTAAACACCTTGGGCGCATGAAAGATGCCTTATTCTACCCTTCTTTTGAGGGAGGTGAGGAAGCCACCTACGCGGAGGGTGTCACATGCTGCTTGTTAATAATGTTGGGGTTTTTCTTCTTTTTAGTTTCCTGCGGATTACACTTACATTTGTCCCCCTCTGAAGACAAGTTCATTATAGAACAAAACACCAAAGGCTGTACTTTTTTGGTTTTCATTGTCCCAAAGAATGCATTCTTGTTCCATTGTGTTTTATCTTTGCTTCTTCATAGAAATAGCCTTGTTGTTTCCCTTTGTACTAGTACGGAAGTATAGTTCTTAATCTCCTCTAAGTGTCTGCACAATACTTACAGTATATCTCTTCAATTATGCAATGATTTTCTGCTGTTAAATCGGATACCACCTCCTGAGCACCTATTTAACGCAAGGTATTAAGCTAGGCCCTGTGACTTTAAAGAGACGGGAGGGAGCGCTCCGCATGCCTTGGTATCAATACCTGTTTTTGAAATAAGCCAGATAGATGCTGGCTCAATCCGATCTCTTCTCCTTTAACATCAAAATAACCACCAGGACTATGAGGCAGGGTGTTTTGTGATAGTACGTCATTGGTGCCAATTGAAAATGTCATTTCAAAAGGGGCATAAATACGGTTTTCATTTCCTAGGAAATATCCTCTGGGAAGACCCTACTGCATTGGAAAGGGAATCAAGTGTGACCCCATATGGCCAGTCCCCACGGAGCATTTATCTTGCCCTGTATGTCCCTCTAACGTTTGGAAACCCATCCTGTTTTCTCTCTCCAGGACCTAGAATAATGTGCAATAAAGCAGGACGTAGGACTAGGGACTGACAACCATTATAGCAGGTACAGTCTTTCTGTCCCCTCCCATCCACCTGCTCCGTTTTATCTTCCACCGCTCTCTATATTCAAGGATCTATGTATAGATGTTATTTAATCCTTACAAATCTAATTACAAATATAGTGTCTTCATTTCTAGAGTTAAGGAAACAAAATGTGCTTTGAGGTAGCTTCTCCAGGAGCCAGATGACAGGATGCAGTTTGAGAAGCATAAGAGATTTATCCGACATAACACCTGGGAAAGACAACGGGGGCTGCAGGCAGGATCAGGGCAGAGAAAGCCTTTAGACCACAATGCGAGTCTGATACCGTGAAAGGAAAGGGTGAAGCAGGGAGGATGGGATGGGAGCTTCACATTGTAGCGCATCCCCTCGGAGCAGTCTCCAGCACAAAGGTTGCCTGGGAAGGAGGCCTATGTTGGGCGGAAATGGGCAGGCCCTGGTCATTTCTGGGTGGGTTATTGGCCCGGGAGCGGGGGGGGGGGGGGGGGGGGGGGGGGGGGGGGGGGAGGCTGGCCTGCCTGGGGAGTGGTGATCTCAGTGTAAATGCTACAGCAGATCCCAAAGGCACTGCAGTTGGAGGTTTTCAGGGAAAGTGCTCTCCTCACTGCTAAATGGCAAGTTCTTTGCTTGAAGGGAAATCTGAGCCCCTGGCAACCCTGGCTACCACAGTGATGGAATGCCTCAGGGCTGAGATGTGAGCCTGAGCCTAACAAAGGCTTTGCCTTTTCAAGTGGGAGGAGCTCATTAACATCAGCAACCACTTCCAGCCTTCTTCGGTTTTCTTCTCCGTAGCTTCCTTTACCACAAAGAAAATTTACTTGCCTCAGTAAATTGGTTTAAAGCAATTAAACCTCTCTTGGTCTTAGAACTTCCTATAAGCACATAATTCTATGAATCTTCAGATTTCTTAAACCTGGGAGGGAGAGGGACAGGCAGATGAAAACCGAGTAGAGTTTGTTGAAAAGGTAGACCTGTCTCATTTTCTTATGTCTTTGGTCCCTGCCTTGGTAAGTTGAAATGAGTATCTACTATCAGACTGTACTTTTAGGTGGGGTGGGGGAGTAGTCTAGGCCATAGAAATGGCTTGGCTAAAGCTTTATTTATTTACTTATGTATTTATTTATATTGAGATAAAGCTGGCATATAACATTACATTAGTGTTGTGTGTACAATGTACTAATTTGATGTTTGTTTACATTGTGAAATGATTATCACAAGTTTAGCTAACATCCATCACCACACGTAACTATAATTTTTTTTCTTGTGCTAAGAACTCTTAAGATTTACTCTCTTACTGACTTATAAATATACAGCATCATATTAACTATAGTCACCATGCTCAACTGCATTCCGAGGACTTACTCATCCTATAACTGGAATTTTGTACCCCTTGACCACCTTGACCCATTTCCCCCACCCCCATAGACCCTTGCCTTTGGCAACCACAGATTCTTTTTTTGGTTCATGTGAGTTTGGTTTTTTAGATTTTACATATGGGTGAGATCATATATTATTTGTCTTTCTCTGACTTCTTTCATGAGTGTAAACCCTTAAGGATTACAAGTGGCATGACCCCCTCCTTTTTATAGCTGAATAATATTCCATTGTACATGTAGCACATTTTCTTTAGTCATTTGTTGATGGACACTTAGGTTATTTCCATGTCTTGGCTATTGTAAATAACGCTGTCACGAACATGGGTTATTTCAAGATAGTGATTTTGGTTCCTTCATATCAGTAACAGAAGTGGAATTGCTGAATCATATGGTAGTTCTATTTTCCATTTTTTTGAGGAAGCTCCATACTGTTTTCCACCTTGATTGCACCAATTTATATCCTCAACAATAGTGCACAAGGGTTCCCTTTTCTCCACACTCTCATCAACACTTGTCATTTCTTGTCCTTTTGATATCTCATTATGAGTTTGATTTGCGTGTCCTTGATGGTAAGTGATGTTGAGCACCTATTCATGTTCCTATTGGCCATTTGTATACCTTCTTTGAAAAAAATCTCTCTTCAGATCCTC